TCCTCTCTTCAGAGAGGGCGCCCCACAACAACAAGACCGTAACTGGGGCTCGACACCAAGACTTACTGACTGACTGACTGACTGACCGGACCGTCAGTCGCAATGTGACTTTGACTTTGACTTTGAGAGCTTATTTAGTCCTGTACGAGAGTCTGTGAAGAGAGGACTCGAGCCGGAGGCAGAGGAATAGCCATTGTTGGAGCCCTTACCAGGAAACTCCTAGAAAAAGACTCATAAAACTAAACCATGTGCTCTAGTGAAGTGTAAAGTGTGGAAATAGCGAGTGTGTTATAGTTATTTTTAGTTACTGCATGTAAGTGGTCAACAAATCTATTCACCAATATGATCTCCATCTATAGTCACACACAAAACGTGGCAGTGCCTTCAGTTATGGCATGACAGCTGTCCTCCATATTCCTTCCAATTTAATGCTGACTTAACTTGGTTCATCCTGGTCCATCACACTAGTAATTGTGTATAAGGTTTTTAACCACAGTCCAGTGTGACTGATAAAAGTTGTGTTTTTAATTTTTCATCCTTTACATGTTTCGGTCAAAATGACCATCTTGAGAAGGATATAATATTTATATCTATGACATGGTAATAGTAGTCTCCATACTTGTTGATAATTAACCTTCTGAAGATGGTCATTTTGATTGAAACATGTAAATGATGAAAAATTAAAAAAAAAACAATTGTCATCAATGATATTGGACGATGATTAAAATCTTATATACCATTAATGCTGACTATTATTTCATCATTCAGCATCACTTACCTTGAATACTGATAAAACACAAACAAACAAACAAACAAACTCTGTGGCCTATAGTCCGCAAGCGAACTATACCAACCGAGCGAACGCCGCTTGTCGGCGAAGTTAGTGCCAACTTTAGCGGCTAGAGGGTGTCGCGTGATCAGAGCAACGAATCCCCACGGCCGTTAATCTCGGTTTTCTAGACCAGAGCCGCAATTTCCTTGAAATAGCTCCTCAGTTTTCCTCATGAGGCTGAGTGAAACCCGTTCCAGACCCACTACTTCTCAGAAAATCTGGTAGCGCCGGGAATCGAACCCGGACCTCTGGATCTGTAGCCAGGAACTCTGACCATTAGACCACAGAGGCGGTCCCTGCCATAGTGATAGCGTCGTTTAAATAAATAAACAAAGAGAGGAAAAGTATTAGTCATACAGATTTCTCTAATTAATTGTGATTGTTTTAAGGATATAGGAAGCCATGCACATTGTGACGTATCCCACGAAATTCCCAATACAAATTACTGTGGGTTATATGTCACGGTTATTCATCAAACCACAAATGGTTCTTCCTGCACCTCTCAGACGACCGGATCGTACGTCTCTCCTTTCAACTTTCGCGATAGTGGAAATGCCAGAGGAACTGAACGGTTGAGATGCATCACATGCTTGTTACACTTTCTCTTCGTGTAGCATCCGCGCGCGCACGCACACACACACACACACACTTTCCCTATCCAACACCACCGAAAAGCCTGACACTAACATCTGATTATCATTACACATGAAACACAAACAGAAAGAAAGTTTCCACGTTGCTAAAAGTTTCTCCCAGTAAGCTTTTTATTTCCTTGCATGTAATTATATGGCTCTGAAGAATTTATTGTCATTAGCAGGACGAGTACCATTCACAGCGCCATCAAGTTGTTACTTAAATAAAAGCATATATCTAATTTATGTTAAAAACTTATAAAAGGAAGTTGAAACTATAGATCAGTCAGAGAGTAAAGCAGATGAAGTGTCAATCTTCATTTATTTTCGAGTTTAGGAATGCGTACAGCCGTATCTCCCCTTCCTCCATCCATCTTCATAACTTGATGCTTAATTAAGAACAGGGATAGCTTTACAAATTTATCTCTGGTATCCATCCGCTTGTCAACTCGTTCATCTGTTCACCCATCCCTCGGCCTAACACATTTACCTTTGTACACTGAGTGGTAGCGTAGTTGGTTGAAGCACTATGCTACAAACCGGAAGGTCACGGTATCGAATCCCGATGAGATGAAATTTTCAATTTACCTAACCCTTCCAGCCGCACTATGGCCCTGGGGTCGACTCAGCCTCTAACAGAAATACGTACCAGGAATCTTCCTGGGGGATAAAGGGCGGCCGGCGCGTAAGGCTGACAACCTTACCGCCATCTGTGAGCTGATTGTCTAGAGAAAATGTGAGAGCCTCGACGCCTCACAATCCTATGGGCCTCCAGGGCCTGTTACAGGGATAGCTTTACTTACTTACACTGTGTAGTAAATGTGGTTCTCTACAGAGTTTTGTTATAAAACTTCGGAAACAAATATGGAATAATGCGAAAGATATTCAATCCAGAAAATTTAAGAAATATACAAGTATATAGCTCATAACAGCCACACACAGAACAAACGAATGAAACCAACTCATTAACAAACCAAATACCGGACATGAGCACAACAACGGCATGACAATCTAAAAATAACCTAAAATAGAATATTTAAAGCATTTCACATCAAAATGAAAAGCAGAACAGAGGGACAACCTCTTATATATCTGATGAAGGTCTGTTAGGCCGAAACGTCTAGTGCTGTATAATGAGAACATATGAAGATGTTGAAGTGTGAATATAAATATATCTACGAAGTCGCACAAAAGAACGGCGAGGGGTGAGAACAAGAAGAAACATATTTCTTGCTTACAATCCAGATAAGGTGTAAATTTTCTCTACAACGCTCTATTGTTTTCTGCATATCAGGTTAATTTACCTTAAGTTACTCTAAATGTTTCCGTTGGAACGTCATACACCGGCTGTCATTACTAATGCATGGGTTATTACAAACAATGACAATTTTCTCCCAATTTGTTTCCAGTTCACCATTCATAACCATCTTTCACATCCCGGATGATAAGATTGCAGTAGTTGACATAGCATTATTAAACAAGCTACAAACCAAAAGTGTACCGGGTGCTATTATTTTCCTTGGCACTACAGCCTCAGTGGGCCTAGGCCTACCTCCATGAACTTCTCCGTTCACTTCGGTTTTTCTAGATTTTACAAATTCGGTAGGACTCCTTGGGCGGGTGATCAGCTCGTCGCAAGGCCTCTACCTGTAGACAAACACAGAAAAACGTACACACACAAACTAAACATCCATGCCCTGAGTGGGATTCGAACCCACGATCCCGGTTTCCAAGCGAGCGAAGACAGTGCATGCCTTAGACTGCTCGGCTACCGTGACCGGCAGTGTATAAGAATATATAAGAATTCAGTTCGTACCTCACAGGAAACAGATCCGAACCCACGATCCCGGTTTCCAAGCGAGCGAAGACAGTTGGCGCTATTTTTCGGGAGGTAAAGCGGCCAGGCCATGAAGCTCACCATTCACCTCCATGTATCGTCAAGGAGAAAAATGGTGGAGCTATACTTCCACTCGCCTACAGATTTTCGTGGCATAATGCTTAATTAATTAAGCACAGGAACTTTACATTTTACTGAACAAACGTATAACATTCCCTGTTCTTATTTAAACGGATGTTCCGGTTGGGCATAGGTGGAGCTCATTGCCTTTATGCAAAGTTCTGGATAGTATCGTTTGGAAGGTTAACCATAGCTTTCCCATGGAAACATAAGTAGAGCCCGAAACACAGCACTGCGATATGGCAGGTAGTACTCGTATTACACTGTGGTGCCTCTCGATCCGGTTACACTTTCAAACCCCGGTCCCTAGCATAAAAGAAACCTGATCCAGTTATAAACCATTTAAATGTTTTGAATCTCTTTCTGAGCAGTAAGTACTATAGCAAAGCCCTCCTCTACCGCGGTTCTGTTCAACACGGACTCGATTAAAGGCGCGAAAGTAAAGTCGAAAAAAATATCTGCTGACCTTTTGTACTCTTCTGTACTCCTAGTTCAAATTCGCTCTCAACTTTCAACTCACGGCTCTCGTTATAATACTACCGCGGAACGGACCTGGACCTGCAGTAAACATATCACGTGATCATCCTCCATCGTTGTGACGTCCGTGACGCGGACACGGAAAACACAGCTTTCCCTATTGTTGCGTGTTGGTCCTTGTTTACAGAGCTGTTGCCTGGCAACGCGTTGATCAAATCCGTTACAATATTAACACTTTAAAGACTGCATTTATTCTAAATAATGTATAATAATCTGGTTCATACCTCACAGGAACAGTACAAAGACCAACTGGTTAATGCTGTTTAGGGAATCAACCGCTTTTTACTCTAAGAACGATATAAAACACAAACACACTCTGTAGGCCGAATGCAGAGTTAGAGTATGTTAAAGCAGTCACTATGGGCTTTATACAGTTATGTGCGTCCAACACAGATTCACCAAGTGCGACGATTTCGTGGAATATAACCGGCATGTTCGATGTGTCTTTACTGTGCTTAGGAGGTAGATGGGGATTTAATTCTCCGCTACTACGGCGCTGGAGGCCAGATGCACACTTGACAATGATGATATTTATACTGTAAACAGTGTGACGCTAGACCTGCTTGGGAGTGCCGAGCCATGCGTGCTCGACACAGTTGTGCATAGCAAGGACTCTGAAAGTTAAGGCATGGAATTATGTATGTTTGAATTTCACCAAAATAAATCTGACGTCCACGAAAAAGGTTCTATGTACTTGACTATCCGACCAGATATTCTAGATTCGAATCACAGATAGGGGCTTCTGTAATGGACTAAATCGAATCCTATCGAATGTCGAAGGAATTCATTCTTTCGAGAATTCTTAATCTCAACAGGATACAGGATCCGAAATTCCTTGTTTAAGTGTGTTATAATAGTGGCTTGTATAATTTCTATGCCAATTTCTAATTATTTTTCACTGATATATCAATACGTTCTACGTACCATTCAATACATTTAATATGCCGATAGAGCCATTTCAAGGATTTCAAAATCGCCGAAACCATTACTTTAAGAAATTCTTTACCATGTAATCGTATATTTTTGTATTGTCTAATTACAGGTTTCGGGAAAAGAGCGAACCACACCGTGACTGAGGAAGATGGCAGCAAAATTTAACCTACTGGAAAATGGACTGTGGGCAAGGAAGAAGAGTTACAGCAGAAGCAGGGAGACCTGGAAATAAACTTTAGTCATATTACTACTTTACAGGAAGTTCGAAGTTACAACAATTTTATCGGCGAAGGCGACAAAAAACCATGCAGTGCGAAGCTGTTCTCCTGGGTAGGGAACCGGTGGATGGGGCAGTAGACGCTTCTAGTCTCGCCACATTGATTCGCTCTCTGTTGCCTGCAACTCGCAACACAGCGACAAGTAGTGGATGGGCGAACACCGGAGCTGAGCGGCTCCATCGGCGATATACCCTCCGCTGCCATGATGGCCTTGAATTTATCAAGCGTCAGTTACACCATAAACACCAATCAAAAAGACACGACGATGAAGGTTTTGAATCAGACGGTGATGACGATTCAGCATCAACTAGATCTCTAGGATCATCGGCTGATGATACCATGAGCAACTCGTCATCATGCTGTTTTGTTGACGACCATGTTTTTAAGTGCCATCCAACGGCCACAACTCCAAATGGACGACCAACATCTTCAACACGCCTAACTTCCTCGTCCACATCATCTTGTGTCTCTTCAGTCGCTACGGATAGTGCAAACAGCAGTGGAACTTCAGATACTGAAGACACTTCGGTTCCGTCGACACCTTCCCCAACAGCGGTGGGTACAACATCTGTGTCCGCTTTGGTCAAATCCCTTTCACTCTTTCAGCAAAGAAATGCTGCAGCGATGGTTTCCAAACCACCACCACCACCACCACCACCACTGCCACCAGCTTTGGCCAGTAAAGATGTGCATGAAGATTTGAAAGAAACATATGCTATTAATGAAATTGCATTCTGTCACACAGATCCTTCATTTCAACGTATTGTAGTCTGGGTTGTAAAGAAAAAGAGGTCGCAGAGACTGTCTCCATCTGGTACGGATACATCGTCTGGCTTGGAAGCCATAGTATTTGAGTGCTCAAGTGAGGAAAATATGAAGAAACTGTGTCAGAGCTTCCACGAGACAAGCAGGCGTGTTAAAATGGAGCAGTATCGACATCCCCACAGACGAAAAGATACTTCTCCAGCACCAAATAGGACACGTTCATCAAATACCTCTTCAAACTCCACCCTAACACCAGAATCAATAATTAAAGCCTTAAAGGAAGCATCACAGAAAAATCCTACGCTTATAGCAACAATGAAACCAGTAACCACACCCATCCATTTGCCAATGACAAGAACCTCTTCAAACAGCTCTGGTCCTAGCAGTGAAGCTGAAGTCCTCTCAACAGTTGCAGGAACTAGGTTCAACTTAGTACAGAGGACGGATGGAGACGGAGTGACTCATATTGAAGTCTCGAGGGGTCTTCCGATGGAAAATCCAATCGAGAATTTAATAACTTTAGATGATGATCAAAGTTTGGGTGGACCGTCGAGCATTATAAGCATCAGTACTCCAGATGTTGGTAATCTTTTAGCAACAAACACGAACACCGGGAATAAATCGAGGTTCTGCAAAGAGATAGAAGGAGTAATTCGTTCGGATGTTGATGTTGGAGGAACTCGGAAAGAAATAATTCAAAGACAAAGGCAGCCTGCGATACTGGTAGTACATTCTGGTAATGGAGAAGCTGATTCCAGCGGAGAATTGAGGAAAGTTTGGTCTCCACCACAGTCAACAAATGCGCCCAACGCCTCAACGGAAAACGGTGAACGCAACACCTCTTCCTCAGATCCTCCTCAACGTCCAGAGAGAAAGAAATACATGCGCAGAAACAAAGCACCAGCCCCGCAACCGCCTTCACTTCCCTCACAAGTAACAAAAGTGCCACAACAACTGGAGTCAGTCAATAACAAGAAACTACCTTTAACACTCATCCAGTCGGATACGAATGCAACTGTGATGCAACAGAAAAGAGTCAATAATACTAATCAGCAAATGGTAGTTAAAGGGCAGTTCATTAGGGTATCGGTGGACCAAAAACCTCAACCGACGATGGTTGTGCCAGTAATTCAGCAAGGCACTTGGATTTATGGTAATAATGTTAGCACTGGGAATCTTGTAGCATACTCTCCGGCACCTCCGAGCTGGGGTATACACGTCACAGCAGCCCACAAATCTGGTTCAAATAAGAATCATGTAAAGAGAAAGGATGCTGAAGACTCCGTGATCAACTCTTCAACCACGCCTCAATATCAGCCGCAACAGCAGAAACAGGAACCCCAGAGCCAGCAGCATTATCGGAAAAACAGGAGTCGCAGTCGCAACGCTATGAACGGAAATCACCGGAGTAAGAGCCCCCCCGCAAGAAGGCCGATGGCGTATCGTTACATAGACACAGTCCCTACTTCAAATACTGCCAACTCCTTGTCCAACAGATTCTTCGGCCTGTCTCAAAAATTAAGGGAGATAGGCGGCGCTGTCGTCAATCCGTCTTCGTCCTCATTGTCCTACGGCGAAACAAGGCGGAGAAGAAACAGTCTCGGAGAACTGCCAGCGAGATTAGAATATCTTGGTGAAGGGTGTGCAGGAGGTACAGAAGGGAAGAATGGAGGAAATCTAAAGTCTGTTATAAAAAAGAACAGGAGGATAGGAGAATACACCGAGCCCAAGAAAGTCACGTTCAGTGCCTATGCGACCGTTCAAGTAGTCGATTAGATTATTTCGATATTTTTCAGTGATTAACAGAATTATGGATTTGACGCTTGTATCCAGAAGTCGAGATGTGAATAATGCAAAACATGAGTACCAATTGAAGGCTTTTGGAGAATGCCTTAAACAAAAGATGGTATTTGAAGCCATTCGTCTTCGAAGAGATACATATTTGTGCCAAAACTTTGGATTGTAATGAGCTGCTGGTTCTACACAAACTAATCAACCATCAGAGATTTCTGATTCTCAAATATATATTATTTTTAATGAATCACAATATATATGACCAAAATCACACATGTATGTATGGGTGACTGTTCAACAATAAATGTGCTATCAAAAATTTTACGTACATATTTGAGTGGCACAAATATTTTCGAGTAAGGAATGTGTAATTTTTAAGTAAGAATTGTCTCTTTATTTCACTTACAAACTATAATATTCTACAATTCGCAAAAATAAAAAATTAAACCTACATATTCAATATTAACTGAAACAGTTTGATCAGCATTTATGAAAAGTATATATATATATACACGTAGAAACTCTTCAAGCAAAAAAATGTCATTCTGTAAGATACAACTAACGTCAATAGTTTCTTTGTGATTTAGGTTTATGGAGTGATATGAAAGAGAAAGGTCCTAAAAGATTTAATTTTTGCCTGCAGTATTAAGGATCGTGAAAGGAATTATAACATAAAATTGTCGACTAATGGACATAAACGAGGGCTCTAATTCGACGATGGAGAAGACTTACACGGGAAGTAAAAAAGAGTGGAAAATTATGTAGGCTACAATCTTTTAAACTAATTTCTAAAATTAGTTTCACACATGAAGTAAATGTTTCGGTCACTGGAACATGCAAAAAAATATATTCAGCAATAGTGAACACATCCTTCACGGTTTGACATAGATAATGTTATGGAGTCAGTAACCCTCAAAACCAAGTGACCTCGAAACAGACGTGTTTCTTTCCTTTTGTGTGTAGGTGTGTTCGCTCGTAGTAGAACGAGAAAGATGATACATGCGAAATACGTTTTCCTCTCACAGCTCAGGAGAGTGATGTGATGACAAGGCATTTTCCTAGATCTGAACCGAAAGTCACCATATTAAACAAATCTAAGGGAAATATATGAATAATAATAATTTTTATCGGCACTTAAATGTGACAGGTGGTTACATAACTGATAATTACAGTTCAGTGTACCCAAACAAATATATTCTGTACGTAGCCTAAAGATTACACAACGGGTTCTGAGTCACATATTGCGTAAATGCAAATAAAGTCCAAGAATGAGAAAAGAACCTTTCAAAATAATCGCTTCCAGTAAGGCACTTTAAAAAAATTAATCTAAGAGTTACTTATGATATTATTTTATTTTCATGAATATACTCCGATACTTATTACTCTTTAGATAATTATCATATTTACATGACTAAAATGGACTTGTCTGAGAAAAATGAGACTTTGGTGAAACTTCTTGCTTATATTAATTAGAACAGAGATCTGGATTATTTCTTCGTAAAGCCGTGGAAACTAAAATTTAAACTTAGTCCAATATTATTATTAAAGGTGTCATTTACTTCACAATTGACATAACCGAAGAAAGCAACTTCAAACGATACCTATGCAATATTTAGATATTTTGTGAAACAAATTAATCTTTTTTTCAAAAGTTGTATTAATCAGGTCTTCAATTTCCTTACTCAAAAGTGTTCTGAGCACAAGCCACTGTTCTAAATCAAGTGATATAATTAATTTCACATTACTGTTTTTCTTCTAAATATGGATCCGGTTTCTCCGACATCATTATGTAAAAAATATTTAAAATATTCACAAAGTGTTCTGCCCAAGACTGTAAATTTTCTACTTACGGAAGCTTACGAACTGTTTAAAATTTCATACGAGTTGAGTAAGTACAAAAGCAACACAATATTTTACTGATACCTCAGGTCTCAATGGTTTAACAGAGTTTTTTTAATGCTAGTGGGGTGGGCCTAAGTCCCTTGTACTGCGGCCACTTCTGGCCTATTGTACCAGCCCCAGATGATAGGTGAGGGTGATTGTGGAGCAATTGGTGGAATGAAGATTGGCAGGGGAAACCGAAGTACTCGGAGAAAATCTGCCCCAGTGCCACTTTGTCTACCACAAATCCCACTTGACCAGACCCGGGATCGAAACCGGGCAGCCGCAGTGGGAAGCCAGCGACTAACCGCTTGAGCTATGGCGCGGCCCTTAACAGGGTTCATTCATTAGGTGAATCGACGGAGAATGCCATCAAAGTATACCACTTTTATTTAATTTTCGTCGATCTCATGTTTCTAATTCCCCTAAATGTTCAGACGTTATCTGTTCGACATGGACTTGACCTTAAACGCACCAAAACACGCATCTGATCATAAGTAAGCACAAAACCAACTGAACACAAACTCGCACCCAGTTTGCACCTAGACAGTTCTACACTAGACCTCCTACAATCAGTCAGTACACGACTGAAACACGTCACAATAAGTAACAACTTAAACTCATATGTAAACTCTACATATGAATCCGTTTGAATTTGCACAAAATTTAATATCACTGCGTTATATTCAGAGCCCTCCAACAATGCAGTAGGCACAGAACCTGGTATACAGCTTAATAACGACAGTGGTAATTGTTCCACAGTTTAACATACCATTAATTTTATGCTATGCACTATGCTACAAGCTGGAAGGTCACGGATTCGATTCCCGATGACGTCATTGGATTTTTTTCACTTTACCTAACCCCTCTAATCGCACTATGGCCATGGGGTCGACTCAGTCTCTAACAGAAATGAGTACCAGAAACCTTCCTGGGGGGTAAAGGGCGACCGGCTCATAAGGCTGATCTTACCGCCATCTGTGAGAAAACTGTCTAGAAAATATGGGAGTCTCGACGTCTCACAACCCTTGGGTCTCCACGGCCTGTTACAGGGAAGGCTTTACCTTCTTTAACTTTTTTTATTTATTTTAGTCTAGGTTAAATAAATCTTATAATTCTAAAACAAAGTTTCCTTTTGACGTCCGTAACTAGACCCGGAAACTGATGTAATAAGGACAGAAATATATCAGGGAATTAAAAGAAAAGTGATGGAGATAAATTCAATAAGTGATACACTTTGATGGCATTATACATTGATTCGACTTGAATTCAACACTGTCGTATTCATAGTTCCAAAACATACCGATGCTTTCAAAACCTAGTCCGAAATTGACTAAACGCACGATGGACTGACTTCTCTTTAACACGCGGCAGAGTATGAGAGCTGTCCACTAGGAACTAACTTTCTCAACGTCTAGGCATGTCTCCGGCAAAGGAGAGAAATTATGATCAAGAATTAAGATACACACGTAAGTGTTTCAGGATGTGGTTTAGCAAGCTGAATTGCCAGTTGCATATATAGTTGTCATCAATTTCACACGCCACAGAGAAGATCAATGACCTGCATAATACGAGGATTATTAATTCATGCAACAGCGCCTCAGTATCCTCAAAAATAACTGCCATAATTTCTGAACACAAAAAAAAAAAATATTTTCCTTGGCACTACAGCCCCAGTGGGCCTAGGCCTACCTCCATGAACTTCTCGGTTCACTTCGGTTTTTCTAGATTTATACATAAGGTAGGACTCCTTGGGCGGGTGATCAGTTCGTCGCAAGCCCTCTACCTGTACACAAATACAGAAAAACGCACACAAACATCCATGCCCTGAGTGGGATTCGAACCCACGATCCCGGCTTCCGAGCGAGCGAAGACAGTGCATGCCTTAGCCCGCTCTGCTACCGTGCCCGGCAGTGTATAAGAATAATATATAAGAATTCAGTTCGTACCTCACAGGAAACAGATCCGAACCCACGATCCCGGCTTTTGAGCGAGCGAAGACAGTGCATGCCTTAGACCACTCGGCTACCGTGACCGGCAGTGTATAAGAATAATATATAAGAATTCAGTTCGTACCTCACAGGAAACAGATCCGAACCCACGATCCCGGCTTCCGAGCGAGCGAAGACAGTACATGCCTTAGACCACTCGGCTACCGTGACCGGCCGAACACAGAAATACGTTCACTATTTTTATATCGTACAATTATTATTCATGAATGACGCTGGGGTAAGACGAATAAATAAGCCAAGCTCAGACGATATACAGAACAATAGTCCGGTTTAAGTTTAAATTGAGAATTACCACCCAGTCCTTAGAAGACTTTCAGTAATTTCGGCACTAACATACGAGCAAACTATGTCAGATTTATGTAAGAGCCATTGTCAAATGTTATAAAGTAGCAAACACAACGTTTCATTCATGCATCCATCAATATCTCTACAGCCCTTTGTCGGGCCCTGGCCTCTTCATTAGTTCCGTAAACATTTTACAGTCGGTAGGACTCCTTGGACGACACAGGGCAACATAAACACACAATAAACGCACACAGAGGCATCCATGTTTTGAGTAGGATTCGAACCCGCGATCCCAGTGTTCGAGCGAGCGAAGACAGTTCATGCACGGCCTGCAAATATAACGTCCTTCAGTTAAACAATGATTGACAACTTGGATATCATTTATGTTTGGCACATATATACAGATTGTCCCAAATTATATTCTCTCGTAGTAACGGGCATGTTCAAATTTACACCTCCCAATCAATTACAGAACCATAACACAACGTTGCCAGTTGTGCGTTGAACATGAAGGATTTCATTTCGAATAATTTTTGTAAATCCAGGAAGCAAAAGAAACATTTCTTGTGAAGGGATAGTGCACTCGATATAGCGACTGGCTACGAGCTGGACGACCGCGGGGTCAGAGTTCAAGTCCCGGTAGGATGAAGAATTTTCTATTCTCCAAAACATGCAGACCGGCTCTGGGGCCTACCTAACCTCCTATTCAATGGGTACCGGGAGCTCTTTCCCCGGAGGTAAAGAGGTCGGGGCGTGAAGCAGACCACTCACTTCCAACTACTGTCGAGGTCAAGAAAGCGTGGGTCTATGCAGCCACTCCCGCATACGTCTTCATGGCGCAGTGCTTAATTAGTTAAGTACAGGGACAAGTTTACATTTGCTTTTGTCTGCTCGATAATCAAAAACCCGATGTATTATTTCGACGTTATTGAATACAAACATAGCAGCTGCTATCCAAAATTCAGATTTGACTGTATTATTATCGGCGAAGACAAAACGCAGATAATGATGCGATGTTAGCACCTTCTATCTGAATCATTTAGAACTAATTATGTTTAAGGAAATAGGGGGAAAACGGGACACTGAGTGAGTATCAGATAGAAGGGGGACAAAAATTAACATTTAGAATGTCACGTGAGAACGTATTTGAGGAGTGAGCAACAGAGTGTAAAGGTTTCAAACCTCCATTCTTCTCCCGAGCTCATTCTGTTACAGGCAGTTTCATAATAAATGTTTCCATTACTTACTTACTCATGGAGCTGAGCCCTTCTTGAGGAGCCGCCAATTCTGCAGCTACTCAAGAATTTCTCAACATTTTATGGAACTCGAAGGTTCATTACCGTGTTCACAAGAGCCCACCACTGGTCCCTATCCTGAGCCAGATCAATCAAATCCATACAATCGCAGCTTATTCCTCTAAAATCAATTTTAATATTAGCCACTCACCTACGCCTTGGTCTTTCCAGTGGTCTCTTCCTTTGTAGTTTTCCCACCAATATCCTACATGCATTCCTCTTCTTCCCACTCGTGCTACATGCCCAGCCCATCTTATCCTCTTTGACTTGATCATTCTAATTATACTTGGAGAAGAGTACAAGTTATGAAGACTACATGTTTCCATTCATGAAATAATCGTGGATTAATAAGAAGTTTCTTAAGAATAGATATAATGATAAGAGAATATTTAACCAATGGTTAAAGATAAACAAGTAGTTTGCTGATCGAAAATATTGCGTAAAGGTATTGCTAGTTTAATCGTGATTAAATATAATTGTTATAGATGGTCATAATCCTCAGTTATGTGCTGCTACAGGAAGCTCAATATAAGCTGTTTTATGTACAGACTTTATTAAATAATTCAGTGAAGGTATTCTGCATTGATTTCATAGTGATGTGCTGTTGTACAGGATAATGTTTTCTGTACGTGTATAGTTAATAATTTTTGTTGTTTGTATAATAGACCTACATGCTGTCTCTTACTTGCTCACACAACCATTTAGTTTATAACATGGATGATTCGCTGTCAGATATGAAAATAAAGGCTGCTGTCGTATGTTCTAAAGAGCTTCTGTGTTGTTTCATTACCCCAATAGCGAATATAGATGATACGATTATATTCCAATGGTATGAAATGCTACTCAATCAAATTGTTACATACAAAAATTTCATATGTTTATTTAAAATAAATTACTTTTTTTCAAAATCTGTTGAAACTATTTGTCGTAAGGCTCACAAACATCAGCGTCTTCATATTAAGTAATAACTTCTCCTTCATTTCGCAGAATAAAATAACTGTGGGCGTTTATTTATTTTTTTCCCTTGGCACTACAGCCCCAGTGGGCCTAGGCCTACCTCCATGAACTTCTCGGTTCACTTCGGTTTTTCTAGATCTTATACATAAGGTAGGACTCCTTGGGCGGGTGATCAGTTCGTCGCAAGCTCTCTACCTGTACACAAATACAGAAAAACGCACACAAACATCCATGCCCTGAGTGGGATTCGAACCCACGATCCCGGCTTCCAAGCGAGCGAAGACAGTGCATGCCTTAGACCGCTCTGCTTCCGTGACTGGCAGTGTATAAGAATAATATATAAGAATTCAATTCGTACGTCACAGGAAACGGATTCGAACCCACGATCCCGGCTTCCGAGCGAGCGAAGACAGTACATGCCTTAGACCGCTCTGCTTCCGTGACTGGCAGTGTATAAGAATAATATATAAGAATTCAATTCGTACGTCACAGGAAACGGATTCGAACCCAAGATCCCGGCTTCCGAGCGAGCGAAGACAGTACATGCCTTAGACCGCTCTGCTTCCGTGACTGGCAGTGTATAAGAATAAT